ACAAAATCGAGAAAAGGAGGAGATATGGGCTCAGACCATCATCTAGTTCAAGGAACCTTCAAAGTGAAGATGAAATCCCTCAAAACAAATGGAGACAGGCCACAACTGAAGTTCGACATTCAGCGACTGAAAAGTACAGATCTGATCTGAGCAAAGTTGGAGACTACGTGTTATCACCGAGCGAACCTGCATGGAATAACACCGCAACTCTCTGAAGGGAAATGTGTACAACTGTTCTAGGAAGAAAGAAGAGACACGAAAAAGAGTGGCTGTCAATGGACATCAACCTGGAAACTAATGGAAGAGAGGAGAGCATGATGGTGAAAGAGAAGATGACTCAATGCAAAGAAGGAAAACAGAAGGAGAGGCTGAATTCAATGCACACTGCACTGAATAAAGAGGTAAAGAGTGCTAGGAAAAACAAAGGACAATTCTACGACACACTGGCTAGCAACCGAAGCAGAACAGATAGGCCACAGGTAAAAGAGACCTCAGGCCATTATATCAGATAACTAGTTCTCTATCCAGGGAGGGATCAACCTAGATGATGTAACCATTAAAAGATGCTCGAGGGAACCTGATCACCAAGGAGGCGAAACATAAAAGGCAATGATTGGTCTGATCACCTTAAAGGACTCTTGAATGGACCACCACCTGCAACTCTTCCAGAAATACCAACAACACTGACAGCACACACAGAACTGCCTGCAGGTGAACACCACTCCTCCAACAAAATCAGAAATCCTAAATGCGATCAAGCCACTGAAATTCGGAAGGCAGCAGGACCAGACGGAATTCCCCTCAAAGAACTGAAAATGGACATAAAGACTGCCGTGGGTGTTCTCACATCATTATCTCAAAAGGTTCGGAAAGAAGGAAAGGTGACTACCGACTGGAAGAAGGGCTACCTCTTCAAGCTGCTAGAGAAGGGTGACTTAAGTCTGTGCAATAACTGGAGTGGAATTATGCTCTTGTCCACGAAAGGTAAAATACTAAGTCCCATCATCCTGGAGAGAATAAAAGAAGCACTGAACATAGAACTTCGCCCACCACCCGGAAGAAGCTGAATTCAGGAAAGGCAAATCATGTGCTGATCAAATTGCAACTTTACTCAAGGTCATCATAGACCAAAGTATAGAATCGCAATCAAACCCCTACCTCAAGTTCATTGATTTTGAAAAAGCCTTCAACAGACAGCGTTAATCGAGAATTAGTTTGGAAACTACGCCAACACTACGGCGTACCTCAAGCCCTTATCTACCTCATTCAACAGCTATATGGAAATGTCATGTGTCAGGTGACACACAATAGAAAACTCAGCGAGGCATTCGAGGCGAATACAGGAGCAAGGTTGCCCATTATCACCGATGATATTCCTAATTTTGGTGAATTGGATTATGCGTCAGACTGTGCATTGAAAGCGATGAGGCAGGAATGCACTGGACGAAGGATGAGAAGACTCTAGAAGATTTGGATTTCGCAGATAATATACGTCTAATGTCATTCAAACTCGAAGAATTACGGGTGAAAACCAACAAACTGGCTGAAGAAGCAGCCATAGAAGATAGGACTCTACTTGAACATACAGAAGACAAAGGTGATGAAGATAACTAACCGACAGCAACAACAACCATCATCATTCACCATCAACAGGAGATATTTGACCAAGGTTACCTCCTTCACTTATCTAGGAAGCATCGTTTCTACTACAGGCGGAACGGATGAAGATGTCAAAGTCAGAATCGGAAAAGCAAGATAAGCCTTCACCAACCTGAAACCAGTTTTAAAATCTTCTGCACCCAATGGCATAAAGAACAAGTTTCAGATTTTCAACACAAATTTGAAGTCAATGAGTCCTTCTATACAGGTCGGAAACTTCACGGGTGTGCGACTAAAAGGATTTCCAACAGGTTGCAGACCTTCATCAACAGCTGCCACTTTCGCTGGCTGTACACTGAAGACCAGATGGCCGGCCAGAAGGAATTAACCACAAGAAACTTTGGCTGGGAACAAACAAAGAGGCCTGAGTCGATCACTCAACAAATATGTATGAGAAAATGGAGATGGATCAGGCATATATTGAGGACACCATCGAGTTACATCGCATGTAATGTAGGCCATGGCTCAGGTGGAATCCAAATGGGAAGCGACGAGTGGGTCGCCCGAGGGTGGAGGGTGACATGGAGGAGATCATGTGTAATGGACGAGGAGATGAAAGACTGTGGTTAATCGTGGATCCAGCTGAAGAGGACATCGATGTGTTGTTGAAGCCCTGTGTTCTACTCGGATCCCAAGGGAACCATTAAAAAATAATAATGGGTGACTTTAATGCCCTACATATTAATTAGGAGATATTAACATCAACCACCTTGTACACTTGTTTCAACAGAGAAGTCATACTGTCAGTGCTTGGGTGCGCACTTGTGCAGCATATAGATGCACCAAAACGATACCACCCTCAACATAATCAGCCCACTCTAGACTTGGTGCTAGAGGAGGACATTAGGTGCCTGGCACCGCTAAGCAGTATTGACCATATGGTTGTCACTTTTAAGTTTAGGATTCACACTGTCATACGTAGGTCAGCAGCTGCTCGTCCAAACATTTGGAAAGAGAATATACCTTCAATCTCAAATGCAGCAACCCTGGCTGATTGGTTGATACACATCAGACTGTCGAGAAAGCTTGGGTGGGATTCAGGAATACACTAGATTGCGGCAATGCACCTCCTGTACCTTAGTCTACACCCCGGAAGCTATCGCATAAACCACCTTGGATTAGCATTGAAGTAGGGAGGTTGTTAAGAAAGTGAAGGATTTTACGGGACCCGTTTGCTGCTAATGGGAAGGATGATTTTCCGACAGAATGACGCAAAATTGGAAACCTTTGCAAGTGTGTGATTGACGAAAATCGTATTTAGTATGAGAGACAGTTAATATTGGGATGTGTGCATGACCCAAAAAGACTGCTCGCATATCAAAAGTAGGACTAAAACTAGCAGTGTTATACCACCTTCATTAGCAATACTCAGCAGGCAGCTGAGTCAAGAGAAAAATAAGCTGGAAAGCTATAGGAATAATTTTGCGATTTCTTTTCATCTAATCGTACCACGCAGGGGTGTAGCGGGTCACTGCTGTCGCCAATAAAATGCCTCCAATTGTGACAAAGGATGCAGTGGGCCTCAAACTACTGTCTAAAATTAAGCCAGGTTAATCCCCTGCACCCAACGGATCTCACCCTAGACAACTAATCTCGTTCAAGGATATAATATACATTCCATTTACGGAGATATTTCAAATGTCTCCGACTCAGGCTAGGCTACCTAGGGACTGGAAAGATGCTTTTAATAAGTCCCATCTTCAAAGAGGAACAGGCAGTTAGTATCTAACTACCGGACTGTAAGTCTGACCTGAATTATAGCAAAGGTGTTAGAAAAACTCATAAGGGATCAGCTGTCAGCTCATATGGAAAAACATGGCTTACTAGAAGTGGAACAGCATGGATTCCGACCAGGACGATCCTGCCTGACAAACTCATTGTTAGATAGGGAAGGTTGGGTAGAGGCCAGGGATAAGACGTTGTCTTTATCGATCTTACTGAAGCATTCAATAAGGTATCCCATTTAGGTCTTCTTAGTAAAGTTAAACGCTTTGGAATGGACCAACGCCTATGCGAGTGGTTTAACGACTACCTGATGAATAGAAGGCAGAAGGTAAGGTTAAACGGTGTGCTGTCAGGGTGGAAAGCAGTACTAAGTGGAGTACCACTGGGAAATGTTCTTGGCCACCTGCTATTGCTACTATACGTTAACGAACTGCCGAAAATTCCTACCTCATCTTCCCCATTATTTGCGGACTATGTTAAGATATGGAAAATTGTAACGATGACAGGTTGGTACTACAAAACGGTCTTGATGAATCAGCTGAATGGGCTAACCTCTGGAGTTTTGAAACCATTTCGAAGAAAAGCTCGGTAACGCACCAAGGTCGAAAGTCTTACACGTAGTACTCCCTGCCAGATGTCAAGGGACAAAAGGACTAAGGAACTGTTGTAAGCCACGGCTTAAAAACAATGGCGAACTGTGATGGAGTCGCAGCTAAGGCTTTTCGAATGCAATGGGCACTTTGAAGGGCTTCCAAACGATTAGATGAGTGCATGTTTCAAGTACTCTATGCAGCACATGTCAGACCTCATCCAGAATGCTGCATGCAAGCGGGAGTCAGTGCTTCAAAAAGGAGGCACATGTCCTGGAAAGAGTACAGAGTGTAAAAACGAAATTAGTTAGTGGTATCTCACACCTTCCTTATGATAAGAGGATGGAGCATTTAAATCTCTTCACTTTACCATACCGAATTAGGAGAGGCGACTTAATTTTGGCATGCCGTACATCAAAGGATGATTTAGGGATTGACCCCTGAAGTCTTTTTTCTCCCTCTAGGATACATTTACGAGGTCATCACAAGAAGGTGCTCAAATCGAGGTCGAATAAAATACGTGTGAAATTTAGATTCTCTCACAGAGTGGTCAACGACTGGAACTCCTTACCTGATTCAGTAATAACAGGTGAAAGCTTTCAAAGGGAAACTAGATGTCTGCAGAGAAATATATAGCAAGCATTAACGTAGGCAACAAGAGCCTTCTATCCTTATAATCTTAATCTGATCCTAAGTATGATATACTGGTGGATATTAAATCCTCACAAAATGCAGCATTCGAGTCTTTTATCAACCTTATTATTGAATACATAAAGGAAAAACCGCCTTTTTACATAGACGTACGCTTAACATCATTTGGCTTGGTACTTTAATCTTGTGCGTCGGTGGCACAGTGGTTAGGACTCTCGCCGACCATGCACATGGTCCGGGGTTCGAGCCCCTGCCGGCGCACACCCGATATCTATGGTATGCCTGAATTTGGGCAACCGATATCCATGCTGAAAATTCCACACTTGTACTGAAAATACGGTGTGGAATCAAGCTGTAAATCAAAAAAAAAAATGTGTGCAATCCGACCTTGAAGGTACTGGTGAAATTTCAAGCTGTACGTTACCTGGGGTGAATTTCATCCCATATGCCCCGTCTACTTAGTAGTATTCCAGTATTGCTGTCATGTATGTTCTGGGTGGTTCACTTATTTTGAAATAATAGGTGTGCGGTTTGCCAGAATACCTAGATATGTGCGCCCGTATCTTAGGGATCTGTATAAGAGGAGACTGGCACAAGGTCCGGAGATATATCGTCCCAGAAGTGACTGGCTGTGCTGGAATCGTGACTCCGAACTATCTGCATTCATGTCCAGAATCGGTGAAAAAATGGACAGAAACGATATTGAAGTTGTTTTGACCGACAAGTAAATTTTGTAAGCATAAATGTTTTACATGAATTTAGATCGTATACTTCATACTGGTCTGCAAAGGGAAGTGAACCGGGTAATAAAATACTTCATGACAACTTCGAGCTCGCACTTGTAGGTGAGTCCTTGTCTTGCAGTGTAGTGATATATATCTCCTTAGCCTATAACCCATATTAAAGTTTTGGAGTGGGATTTAGTGGGGCTTCTTTTTGACGGGGGGGGGGGGATTTCGCATCTCCCCAAATTTTTTGCTCCCAAACTTTCACAACATTTTCATTCTGGTAAACAACAGCTTCACGATATGAGGATAGTTGTATAAGGGTGTTAGTTACTGCAGTAACCGACGAACCACAGTGTGGTGAAATGAATACTTTAGTGCTACACAGACGCTATATCTGATATTTTTAGTGCCACTGAGATTCCAACAATGTACAGAGATGTGACAAAAATATAGCGTGGAAAGAATAGGTTTTGTTTTCTTTCGTGATTGTGACGTGGTGAGTCCATGGGTTAAAAGACTGTGACAGAATTGTAGTGATTCACTTCCAGTCAACAGTTAGTTAGCTGTGTAGTCGATTTCAAGTCATTCTGCTTAATTACTTTCGAACAGTCATCATTCATCGCATTTGCAGTAAATTTGTATCCAGTAAGCAACCTGATACATTTTTGGTGGTGTCAATAAGTTAACATTATTGTTTTGCATCTCGACACCAAAAGCGACACTAAATTTGGAAAATTTGTTAACTAGAGTGATACTTAATAAGTATTTGTTACATAATTTGACTGTTGACCATCAACTTAATATAGACTCGTATTTTTCTGTTGTCGTTACCCTCTTTAGTGCCTAATTAACTGTCTTCTTTTGAGTAGTAGTAAGAAATTCTCGTTTTAAACAGCAGGGCTTAATTTTAATGAAAGGGCGAATTCCTAACATTGTGGTGAATGTAGTGTTTCATCATATGAAATGTGTTGTGTTGAAAAGCTTTTCGAATACAGTTTATTGTCCGTAATCTGATATGTGTGTCGGTGGCACAGCTGTAGAATGCTCGCCAACCACCCAGGTGGTCGGGGGTTCAATCCCCGACTGGTAAAGAGGGAAGGTTGGCCATCAGGCTAGCAACCCCATCCCGTAAAAATAAACAACACTGCTACCGAAACTTCAAGACTCTAGCTTGTAGCCCTATGTTCCACTGGGAACGTAAAGGAATACAAAATCTAATAAGTTGAGTTTCTCCTGTCTGTTATATTCAGCAAACAAACTAATATAGAATTCGGTTTTTCACGTTATTATATAGAAATTTTCGTCAGATTTATGCCTAGAATCGTATTTATCATCCTAACGGAGTCTTAAGATTTTAACTAATTCCAAACATTCCGTTTTTTATTTTTCTAAAGGTCGTGATGTCTCTCAGAAATTTCTTCTTGCTTTTATGCGCTCAGTATATCCCCAATTTCCTGAAGAGTGGATTGTGGACATTGTGCAGCACTTAAACTCAACTTCTGAACTCGCCTATATAGCTGCACATTTGGGAGTTAAAGATATAGTACTTTACAGTGATCAGACTGATAATTCAAGCAATAGAATTGTATCAAACCCACCAGAGTTGGATGTACTAGCTAATGCATTAATGGCCCTAATTGGTGCATTAGCGAAAGATAAGGTAATGTGCATTAATTGACTTATGTTGCGATATCGTTTAATGAACTCTGCATGTCTTTAATGGACAAAAAACAAAGTGGTCTCACTTACTGACTTACGGATAGACGCTGTCTTGTAGTGTTCACTAATGTCATTTGGCTAAATAGACCTAAGTATTTGAAGTGGGTTTGGGTTCATTGGCTAGTCAGAAATATGGATCACTCAAACCTTAATTTGATGAACGTGAATGACTTTAAATCATGGCTTTTTACCAGCCCAGTTTATTAGAAAGGTAGTAAATTTCCTTATGTATAACACAGGGGAATTATCTGAATGACAGTTTGTGCAATTCTAAGCTCCGTAGCGCTGTGGAGACTGAATGGGTTACAAGAAAAACAAACATGGGAAAAACTAAATAAGCTTCATATCTGGATGGGGTTCGCCTTATCCTAATTTTACCATTAAACATAAAAGATATGAATAGGTTGGTAGTTAAGAGGGTGTGAAAATGTGCAAAAGGAACATATGCGAGTGATAATAGTGAATTAATTATTAAAGCAAAAGCAAACTAAAACTCAATACAACCCCGAACTTTGTATACAGGAAACCCTCTTCACACCTGTTAAATTGACACTCACCTACCTTTATTCTCACTCAATAGCAATTTTTATCCGTATCAAATTTCTATCTTTGTGCCTTTGAGGTTGGTAGTTCTCGATCATAAGTGCCTACATCCAGCCTCTCGTGTTAAGGTTAGCAATATAGCACGTGGTAATGAAGTTAGGAGCAGTTTTATGCTTTTCCTTCGATGAGCTTGTAAAGGTCTATCAATTGAAATAGCTAAGAAAAGTGTTACGCTTCCCAAGCCGCTAACCTCCTTGATTAGCACTGTTAGGTGATAAAGAACGTGACTGAGTTTCAACGTAGAACTTTGCTTAGAAGTGCAGAAGTTAAAGTTACCACACTCCAATGGGACATAGCACCATTTTATGAAGTCTCTTTGACTGTTGGTTTTTAGTAGAACAGGAAAGTGTAAACTATGTGTCTGAGGTCCTGAAATGCGAGGAATCAATGGTTAAAGACTGTTGGTGATATATAACCCAGAATCGTGCAAAATGTACTATTTTGCCAAATGTTGCAACTTAAACTGACTCACTTTTGTGCGAAGTTCTATGTCTGTCAGTCAGTGAGAGAATAATTTTTTTATATGAACTAAGTCAAATACAAAATTGTGAATAAATCAAGCAAAAATAAACAGGTTTAGTTGTTTGCAGTATATTTGCTCAAGAAGTAAGATCTCTCCTTCAAACTGAAAGAATAGTGGATGTGAACATTGACAGTGTTATGACAGAGAAACTTTGAAGCTTTAAACACACATTTATTTTACTTTGATTGTAGCTTGAAACCGCGGAGTATTTTCAGTACAAGTATGGAATTTTCAGCATGTGATATCGGTAGCCCAAATTTTGCAGGCCGACCATTGATATCAGTTGTGCGAGGGCAGGTTACCGAACCCCGGACTATGTGCATGGTCGGCGAGAGTCCTGACCGCTGTGCCACCGACGTACATAGTAGTCTGTTACGGGCTAAGAACAAACGGTAGACTGATACGACGTAAATACACTGTCTGGTAGCAAAATTTTTCTGGCATATCTGTACGTACTATCGATATAAATTTCTCTCTTTTGCAATTATCAATGAAATGCTCTCCTAGCAACAATATAAAAACTATTTAGAGTTTTTCTACACCCCTCAATTTCCCAGTATGTTGATGTCAAGTTATTTGGTTGAGTTTCCCTAATAACTAAAGATTCACACTTTTTGTAGAATTTTTAGTTATGCTTACTAATATTTTCTGCTTTTCAAACAATATATGTATAAACACGTCAACATATTTATACTTTACCGATGACTTTTCATCCTGACTTAGTTGGAGAGAGCACACTTATTTATTCGGGACTTTATTGTGCCGAGACTAAGTGATTTGGATTTGACTGAATTGGTTTCCATTCCTGAACCGCTGACTCTTCTACAAGGTATACTTAAATCTGAAGGACGTGGACCACCTGAAACCAGGTAAGCTACAAACGCTAACTGTGTTAATAATAACCACTATACTATGTTACTTTTTAAAACCTACCATAATTAATAGTGATTCACAGTCATAAACTTATGTTAAAAAGTTAAGTATTATTAGGTTAAAGTGAAATATTTCTTTGTTCTAATAATTAAGAACTCCATGAGGCTTTCATGTATATATATATATATATATATATATATATATATATATATATATACTTGAGATATTCACTTCACTCTGTCGTAAAGGTTCTTGTTTTAGTTTCTTTCTGAGAAATGTAGGAAACTCGTATTAGGAGTTTCCGAATTCCGCTGCTGTGGCACATTGGATTGAGCATTCAACTTCTAATTAGTAGGTCACAAGTTCGAACCCCACTCACTGTGTGTAAATGTTTGAGCAGATAAAAATATTATCTCATTTTGTAGGTATGGTTCAATGCCAAATAGATTAAGTTCAATTACTGAATACTATATGGGCACTAATTCTGATCATACATCTAGTCACATATGTAAAATGTGTTTATCTAAACGAATGGTTGGTGCTGTATGCGATACTAACAGTTGATTATTTAGCCTCAAGCAGATTTTCTAATTGACTGAAATTCAGTAATAGTCCACTTAAAGAAATATCCTTATTCCACCAAGCTTTATTGTTATTGCTCTTCTTATATTTCCAATCCTCTCAATTTTGTATTGTTAACTTTCTCATAAGTGTAAACATCATTTAAGCTGTGTAATAACGGTTAATTTTTTGTTTTTCCCATCACCATGCTATATCAACAGAACATTATATTCAATAGTCTATAACATGCTACAATTTCCAAACTAGATTGACAATGCTATTTGAAACAAACTGTTATTATTATTTTCATTTTGTACTTCGAATATTTTTGGCTTTATATCATAAATGTGGACAAATTCCTCTGGTTTATTTTATTTATATTTTGAGTAAATCAGATGCAAGGTGGTGTGAGAATTCCATTCGGTATTATAAGTACTGTTTTTGGAATAAAGTAGATTGTAATTATTATTAATTAGTTTCCGGACATCGAAACTAATGGTTAGATTACAAATTTTATGTAGTATATATTTTACAAGTCTTATTTTTAAAATCTCGTAAATATCATCTAATTACGTCTAACTTATGAAGAAGTTCGGCCCAGTTTGCCCAACGGAATTCTACTCAGAGCCCAACTTTTAAATCAAATCTTGATTAAATTTCATCGAAATACCTATTCTTTTTTTTCAGGCTAATTTATCAGTCAAGTATGAATACTGTTCTGGCTTGTTTTCAAGTTGGTATCTATAGTGATCGTCAGCTTGTTGGAGAAGGTGAGCCAACTTTAACTAGTATTTGAGACTAGTCTATATAAGCAGCATTTCCGTGTGGAGACTTTTTTAGATGTTGGTGTCTATTACTTATGCAATTACTGTTACACAATATACACCCAAGAAGAGATATCGGTATGCGGTCGCAAGATGACTGTTGGAGCTTCTGAGAAGTACATGTGAAATTCTGCAACCTGTTACGCGTCTGTTTGAATAAATTCCATTCCCCAACTTTTATTTAACATCGTATCATGACGATGAATGGGAAAATAACTGAAGAGAATACATTAAGACCTATTTTATTTTCTTGCTATGTCGATAAATATAGTTTATAGGCTACTTTGATTGGACACTAGTAACTAGTATGACGTATCTAGTCCTTTCTTTGGTGCAGACTGAATTCTATCAGTCAAGTTTGCAACGTGGCCACCATTCTGAGTAGAAGAGACATGAATTCCTTCAAGGTTGCAGATATGCCTTGCTGACTGGTGAGTGCCAACTAGCACGAAACCTAGGTCAGGCAAGGCTTCCTGCCGATTGCCTCCAACCATCTAATATCATAGTTTATAGGTCACTTAAGTTCCTCCTCGTAGCTTGCCTACTAATTCAAAGTATTGATGTGATGTTTCGTCCTTCTCTTCATACGTTCTTCCCTGCATATGTCCAACAATTATTATGGCTATTGTATCTTTTGGTTGCACTCTGTACTTATTGTAGACGAATACAAAAGTGTGGAATCCATTTTAGTTTTCAAATATCCTGGTAGTTTTTAGGTCTTCAGTTTTGTTAATAGAGCTTTCGATTTCAGTCTTAATGTTATCTTCGGTGCTCTTTTATGAGTGAGGGAACTTCATACCTTTTTCCATGAGCATTTATAGGGAATTTCCTACTGGATACTGATGTAGTAGTTTCTATTGGTTAGTTGTGAGTCAGGCTTCTTTGATCCGTGGTAATCGCATTGACCTTTAACCCTATCTTCTGAGTCTGGATTGTTGTTGTTTACTGAGATAATTGAGACAGTCTGGAACAACCAATCTTTATTTTCAGCTTTCATTTGATGAGTTTTCGCTCTCTTTCCCTGTAGGGCTTTTATTTGGATTAGTTCAGTTATTTCAGAGGTACATTTACCAGCTGAACTCCTGTTGACACTTCAACAGTATCCACTGTATTGCATTTAGTATATGGTAATCGTTTATTTTAGCGGTTTTGCTTGCCCCCAATGATGGGTTTTAATTTCATTACGATAACTGAAGTATGCACTCCACCTACCTGTCTAAAGAAAAATAAAACTCGTCATACAAGTAGATTAGAAATTATTAAAAACCCGTGTAAAATTCCTCAATGAATACACTTACTAGGTGTACTAAATTCACTTCCTTTTAGAGGCGGTATCAAAAGTGACTTTCATGGCTATCTCAAAAGTTCCTCTAACAGAATCCAAAACTAGGGGAGTAATCTAACTACATGAATATCTCCAAAATGAGGTGTTAACACAGTTTTCATGACAGTTAAAGCACTGGTAGTTTGGCTTGTATTCATCTTCCAAGTACAAAAATAATGCTGTCTGTACCGTCACTGTAACTGACGTTACTTCGGGAACGTATAAAGTTAGAAATAACAAATGTGTCCGACAAACTCTAAGTAGCGTGCATTTAAGTTAAAGTGAAGTTTGATTAATGATACGCCCACCTAGTACACTGTGGTCGTAGTGAAAAATAGACCAACAGTATTTACGTATATTTTAAATCTGTGATTACATTTGTGTCTTTTCTGTCAATAATTCTTTCATTTATCGATTTTATTTGTATCAACAATAGCTCCCGGTGAGACCGTATTAATCGCGGAAGAAGAAGCCCTCCGTCAGTCAATAAGGAATTTCTTCAAGCTAACGGATAGTCTACCTTCTGTCCCACTAGATGGGGATTTGAACCTTTTGGATTTCGAAAAATACGAGAAACCTAATATTTCCCTTAATTATTATTTAAAACTAGCTAGGGACAGTGCTTGATCTTTGAGAATTATGTTGTATAACTGTAAATAGATTTTTTGAAAACATTTCTTGATGATAAATTTTTTTATTTCAGTATTTCACTTGACAGTTCATAACTTATAATATATTTGGAGATCTACTAGGAAGCATGATTGTATTTCATGTCACAGCTTGCTTCCTTATTACTATCCAGGTCGGTCATGCTTTACTTGAGAAAAGTGTGTGCTTCGGAGGCACATCGGTTAGGACTTTCGCCGACCATGCACATGGTCCAGGGTCCGATCCTCTGCCGACGCACACCTGATATCAATGGTTGGCCTGCAAATTTGGGCTACCGATATCATATGCTGAAAATTCCATACTTGTACGGTATGGAATCAAGCTATAGTAAAAAAAGAATGATCCTGTATTGAACTCATGCAGTTTTTACATCTCGAAAATAAATTATTTAATCAGTGGCTCAACGCAATTTTGCGTCAGCTTAAGTCCCTATGGTTTGTCATTAGTTATAACCGAATATCTAGTGAGGTACATGGTCTATCTGCAAAGCATGTGTAGCTGAGGTTACGATTTATGTTACGGCTGAACTTCATCGACCCTTTCAGCTGGAACTGTGCAGATTAAATGGTATCATTAGATAACACATAAATAGGGCTCTGTAGTTTCTCTATATATTTTTTTAGTATAAACAGTCTATTATTTGATGCTATTTTCGTATCACCATTTTTGTGGTTTCGCTATAAAGATCCTTACTACCCTCAAAATGAATCTCAGATGTCAATTGTGGATGAAAAATTCAAATTCCTTACTTAAGAGGAGGCGAAGCACCTCCACTTGATCAGCACATATTTATTCAGCAAGGCTTCATTAAGAGAAATTCACCAACCTCAATCGAAAAATTGACACCAATAGTTTTGATAGAGGGACAGTTATGACAGGTAGTTTTTCAGAATGTGTTAAAGGCTTTGTAGAAGTCCGTAAAATGAGGAATTTGTGTCTCCACTTTGAAAGACCTTATGTAAATAATAAATACAATGAGTTCCTTAGACAGATTGGTGGCACCATCTGATGACACTGAAAGCAACCAACCATTCCCTACTTTGTTCCACTCATCTCTTATGTGGTATCCATTAGTCCTTCTTTGTATGCTTTTGCCAACTAAAGCCAATTATTCTCTCATATGAATAGCACTTCTATAATCCTAAAAAATAAAAGTATACTGTTCGTCATAGAATCAAATCAATCGCGCTCATCAAAAGGTCACACTTATTTCTAATCTCACTGGTGAACTTAGCTGGAATGCCTTTCATTTATGTACGCCAGTCACTGTTCCTGTTGCACTACGTACGTAGGGTGAGGAACTATACAGGCTCATCGCCGAATACCTCTAAGCACCACTTACTAACAGTAACTAGAGAAAACGTGTTTTCATTCACACTGGTTGTTAAACAGGGTAATTAAAAGCAATTGTTGTATGCAAATAGATTGTACTAGTTTGGCTCACTTAACAAAAGATCCTATTATACTTTTGTATAAAATAAACAGTTGTAACCAGAAAAGTCTGCATACACTTCATTTAATCAGGACACTGAAGCAAAGCGAACTCTTCACTTTTCATTTAATAGATCAAAGTATTTATTTACTCCTATTATTCAGTTAATGTTCTTTCCACTAGTGTACAAACAACTGATTTCTCCAACCGCTCATTATGCAACAGACCTTTTAATACCACTAGCATTATGATAACCCGACCGACCGTTTTATATCTTATTTCCTTTATAGTATTTTCGTTAGTAGCTTGAGGTTCGTAAATACTGTTGATGAGCGAATCGTCACTAGGTGCACACTTTAAAACGGTAACGTAGGAGCATAGATGAGGATCAGTCGAATGGAAACATTTTGCTCGACTAGTTTTATAAACCAGCAGTATGCGTTAAATATTTCGTCTTGCTGTGAAATTGGACCCAAGTGCTTTTAGACAAGGTTAGATAAAGTCACCCTTATACGGTATGACTTCTGTTATCGGGCGTAGACTGCTCTCCGTTTATCTTCATTTCTATCTTGTTTATTTAAATGACGCCTGATAAGGATATTTACGTAAAAGACAATAAAGCACATTCAACATAAGACCAGTTATAATACTTTAGTCTCCGACAAAAATTCAAAAAGTCCGACGTTATGCTGACAAATCAATCCTTACGACTACGCATCTACCTTATATTAGATGTGCTCAGTGTTAATAACAGACAGGGAGATAAAGTGTGATCAGTGACGGCGAAGCAAAGCAGAACATGTATGTCCAGTGTCAGATGATTATGAGGACGACATAAAGTATAGATATTCAACACAAACAGCCACAACTACTTTTTCACGATTGCCTGAACAGACCAATTCTTAATCGTCATCATGAAAATAAAGTGCGCCGACTTCATTGAAAGTCGGTTTACAACCGTTAACATTCCACAAAGTTACTACCTATCAGTAGTTACTTGGATTGCTGATATTCATACTTTATCTTTAGGACAAACTCATCTAGTAGAACTTACAAATGAAATACCTCTTGGCCTTTGTTTTGAGGTATGTACACTAATAATTAGGTAGGAAACTATGTCAATTACTGGCAGTCCTTTAGACTGTATCTAATCATGGAAGCAGTGAAAAAGCAAAGATAATTTGTTCCCGCAAGGAAACCACTGCCACCAATTACATTCGACTCCAGTGAATACTAGTTGATAACGACCTTTTGATGACTCATCATAGGAATGTGTAAACCTTATTTCCGAAGTATCAAGAACAGATACCTTTGAGACGTTTTACCATACTCGTAATTATGTAAAGAAAACTGATCCAACGGTGAGGAGGAAGCCATTCTATTACTTGATTGGTCACGACGAGTGATAGCATGCACTAGGACCAATTGACATTTTGGACGCCATGACATACATACAAGCTGTTACCCGAATATTTTGCGGACCTTGGGATGCTTTGTCGTAATGCAGTTAGATAATTACTGAAATACATATTACTTTTCTTATAGTTCTTAGACGAGGATATGGTAGTTTCCAAAAGCAATAAAACTCTTAAAAAAGACGGAAAGTCACTTGAATCTATGACACTTCACTTAAAAATGAACAAAAGGCGCGATGCAGCGTGACATAAGAGAACGTGTGATTAATTACAATGACCATAACCATGTTCAAACTAGACAGGCAAGTCTAGTGAGAAAAATCAGCTGCGAAGGGTGAAATTCATAGGTCTAAACTTGTATGCCACCTAAATGCTCCAACAGCAGCTGGATACATTATTTTGATTGGCATAGAAAACTGACCAATTCCTTATTATTATTAAAAAAAATATTTGTCCTAATTTCATGGGCTCAGGTGGTCTTCTTCACTCGACACCCTCTGAATATTGGATTAACATTACTGTATTCCGCGAACTAAAGTACTAATGATTGGGCAATAGATACACAATAATTAAACCAATACCCATGAACGAAGCAACCCAAAAGACAGTTAAAATAAGGGACATTTATAGAACAAGTTATTGGTATCAAGTTCAGTGCATTTTATCTATATTTAAAAGTAGCAAAACTGAAGAGAAGATCGGCAAATAACTGATAAATATGTACAATTAAATCACAATATCATAATACGCAGTTCCTATTCCATATCAATAACGTTTTCGCCTTCTGATTCAGACCCTGTACCAGATGAACCGTCCATTTCTTCGTCCACTTCCACCTCTTCTGCTGCTACTACCTTACCTTCACACTGTTTGAGATCACAACCCGTTGTCAAATTACTGATCTTATTTTGCAGCTCAGCAGTGTTTTTACTACGAACCAACTGAATCCCCTCAAATAAAAGATGTGCAACTTCTTCATGTGAGGCATCCTCACATATTATGTTCAGCTCATCATCCAGATAATCTTCTAAGAAGTCGCATATTTCATCTTCGTATTTGGACTTCGAAACGACCTGCGGTAAACATTCATATAAAGTCTTTATCTTTTGCTGTGTATAAGGACCTCCAGATTCTTGATTTAATCCAAGACGTAGAGCTGTCCATGAATCCAAGATCTTAACTGAATACTGCTTAAATAAGTCCATGTGACAACAAGTTGGAAAAGACCGCTTCTTCTAGTAGTTGGCTTAAACAATAAACTTATCAATTCTCATCCGAAGACTAGTTCCTTCTCAATACAAGTACGAAGTTAGGCATATGTGAAAATCTCCTGCTTCATAAGGGACCATGTGTAAAACATGTCCCTAGATAGTCTAACAAAGCTGTGTAGATGACGCTGACAGATTTCGAACCGTCACCATATATAACCTAGCCTCATCTCCTGTGAAAAGTTGATCAGTCGGACATAAGTTCATGGTCAGTGTTGAACAGTTTACCAGCTGTTACATGAAAGAGTGGTACGTCCCACAGCTCACTAGCTAAAGCCCTTTAATGAAAAGATACAAACGCCTGGTTCAACAATGCTCTGAACTTGATTTTCATTTTGTGAATTTATTAACTTCTAGGAATCCTGCTATTTACGCTGCTTGAAAGACTCTGAGTTCGTTTCCGATTAGCTTCAACTGAAAACATTTCTCACGATTGTTGCGTGGTAATCATTCATGTTAGACCTGAGTTCTAGTCAAAATACCTGCTTACCTTTTAGCCTGGCCCACTTGACCTGAAGAAATTCTTTGACCCATTACACACTTACTGCACAAATTCATCCTAATAATGCAAAAGATTTATGTGGCTGAATTTTACGAAAAGATCACTGTGAATCGCTGTCAATTACGGTTGAATACATACTAATATCTAAAGAACATATTAAAATGTTCAACGATAGTATATATTATATTAATGTTTCCTGATGTACTGAATGGAACCTAGGACTGCAGCAGGGCATCTCCATCCAGTCCATTCTCTGCAGCCCTTTACAGCTGGCTCTACGACCGCACGTTAACTTTGATTTCTTCTTGTCTCTATTGCCTCCATATCACCATCGGACATCGGGCTAGTCTTATCACTCTCATTTTCGATCCAAGGCCTGACGCGCAGTGTCCCTAGTAGGAAGCGGCCGAAATTGAGGTCATCACCTGAAGCCAATTGTTGCACAGAAAGACGTTCTTAATTGTTTAATCTGAGTCTAGTTTACTACGTAGACATAAAATGACTTTCCATCTCATTATCTTACTTTTCACCAACTACCAACCAATCAGAACCACTTCTTTATCACTTTAATGTGGGTAAAAATGCACAATTATGACGTGTTTTCCCCTAATAAACAAATTGTCAAAGGCCAGTCTTTGTATTCTGATATTTGCGTTGCTGATTGAAGTGAGAAGTAATCTCTTGTATTATTTCAGTTGAGCTGATTGCTGCACACAGTGTACACGTGCAAACCCACTCGGTCATAGCAGTCATTTTGCCCATGCTGAATACATTCTTGTTTCCTCTCACATGTTGGTTAGGCGACAAGTCCTTGTTTGCTTCTCCGTTGGGGTTCCTTGTTGCTTGTGGTTTCTGACAGGCTATCAAATGTTCATTATCAGGTGAAAACGATTCTTGTTGAAAGTCTAGGAAACGACTCTATGACGCGCCAGGCCCCCGAATCATATCAAGGCAATAAACTGACATTAGCAATAGAAATCCAGATCTCGTTCTTTGTGCCGAATGCAGCAAATTTCCACACTGATATGTGGCTATTGAAGGCTTCTTACTTTTCCTATTATGCCCTTGACATCCTCATTTGCGTCACCTGTAAGTGGAACGATGCTGTCCGGATGACTGAAATAAGTGACTTCCTTCGCATTTCCCCGTCGGGAGTGACTGGTGTTCGTTGCTGTCGGTTATGTATCTATATTTCCACATCTCTATGTCTTTTTGAAGTGTAGTCATAGCAAGCTCATCTACCAACTTGTTTATTTTCGTTTGGTCTTCGAGTTTAGATGTGGGTCACCAGCTGATATCAGCCAGATAACCATGGGAAATCCAGAGGGAATTAGGTAGCTCTCTCGTCATGTTCCGTTCTCTTCATAACACGCACTCATTGGTTCAGACTCAATGCTTTGCGTCCGCAAGTCAATCGTATGGGCCATTCATCCACGGGGATCTGATTCAACGGCCCATGAGTCCAAACTTGTGCCAATTTGCAAAACATAAATATATATGTGTGTAATTAACGCAACCGCCAGTCAGTGCCATGGGCGAGTTATCCTCTTCCTGCGAGACTCGGTGGTCACCGCTGGCAACGAATTCCCACTGGAACTCCAAGTAACTTCTTGATGGTTTCGCTATTTATGTATATCACATTTTGGCAGGGGCTGGAATTCATGGGCCATTGGATTGGGTCCCAGTGTTTGACTGGTCTATGGTCCTTCCCTGTGACTAGAAGGTCCTGGGTCTTAACGGCGGTGTGTGCAAAGTGCTGAAGAGTCCCAAACTAGGGCAAGACGTCATCCAATACTTCTTGGTTTTCCTATGGTTTTCTAGCTGATATCACCTCGTAATCAAGCCTGAATCCAATAAAATCCCGGCATACCAAAACTTGAAAATATATTTTAGTTTTCGTGGCACTAGACATAAATCATCCACAGAGTCCAGATCTTCTAGTGTTATCCTGTCAGTTCAGCGTATGTCTGTGTTCCAGCAGGTGGTTAGCTGCATCATCTAGTTGACCAGATTCAGGGATGTCACCGGTGATGGCTGACAGTCTCTTGCAACTGTTGTCTTCACATCATATGCTTCACTGAGATGCCACCTTTTTAATTGAGACAATTACAACTTTTCTAACCATTATTTCACGAACCCCAGTTGAAGTACTGGTGGGACCTATTAGGGTGCAAACTACCTCGACCCTCGAGGTATTATAACCTTCTTAATTCCATCATTACATGAAAATGGACGCAACATATAAATGTACCAACTAGGTCTGATAATATTCTTGATCTTATATTCACGATCAACGTAGCACCATCTACGATACATGTGGGACATGAATTCCCAGGTAGCGATCATAAAATAGTGGCATGTTCGTTTGACATTTCTCCAGAAACTATACACATAAATGAAGTTAATCGGACACCTATTAGACTATACACACATGTTGATTGGGACCTGTATCAGGTCTTGATTAGATACTCTAATTGGGATTCCTACTTCAATAATGACTCCCTAGAGCAAGTTCTTAAAAATTTCTATGACAATATACAGTCTGTTAATGATGTCATAGCGCCTGTGAAATTGATTAAATTCAAAATCCCTCAAGACGATTTTATTCCAATATAATTAAGAATAAGCCTGCGGAAGCATTCATTAAGTTACTACAGACATGACGACTTGTCATCGTCAATCGCTATCAAAACAATCCTCATTAGAATTTATGATTTGAAAAATCTAAGTCTTAGGAATAAAGAAATGCGGGCCATTCAGTCGCCGCATAACACTGGAGAAATAGCCAAACTCTTCAAAAATAGGCTATCAAACTCCAAATCAACATATCCAAAAATAATACACCTAGGCGGCATCACTTACGAAAGTGCTGAGGATATATGTGAGGTGTTTAGCACGCACTTTGCCAAACTATACACCCTAGAAAATGACCAGGATATTGATTTCCCTCGTAAAACAGAAAAGTGTTTAAGCGATGTAGTCTTCAACGCCCAAGAAATCGATGAAGCCATCGCAACTCTTAAGCTTACTAATACCCCCGGCCCAGATGGAATGTCTTCCATCCTCTTCAAAAATGGTGGAAATGACATGAGCCTACTTCTCCTCAAGTTATTTTCAACTTCGCTGAGGGGTGGAACATATCCAATTAGCTGGAAGGAATCTTACGTTGTACCCATTCACAAAACCGGACCTACAGCGGACATAGATAACTACCGCCCCATCAACATCACCTCCGTGGTTTCACGTGTGATGGAAAAGATTGTGAAGAAGCAAATTCTTCCGTTTTGCTTTCGAATAACCTAATATCTCCTTTCCAATACGGTTTCTTAACTAGAAGGTCGTACATCACTTGCCAGTTAGATTATTTCGACGACATAACTGAATGTGTAGACAAAGGTCACTCGGCAGCAACACTATTTCTAGATGTTAGGAAAGCTTTTGATAAGGTCCCACATAAGAGGCTCATATTGAAACTCCTATCTTATGGAATAAGTGTAAGGCTACTCGAGTGGATAACTTCCTTTCTAACAGGAAGAGAACAGTTAGTTAAAGTCAACCATCACTTATCATCATCCAAACCAATAATCAGCGGCATGATACAAGGTAGCGTTCTTGGTCCTACCCTATTCATTGTATTCATAAATGATATTGTCTCTGTGATCAAGTATGGCAAGCCGTACCTCTTTGCAGATGACCTCAAAGTTGTACATGATTTTGACTATAATGATTTAAATATTGTTAGTAAAATCCAACAAGACCTAAATAGTCTATGTAACTGGAGTGAAAAGTGGCAGTTAACGTTCAATCCAGCTAAGTCTGGGATAACATACTTCGGACGTTGGAAACCTAGCATATGTCTATACATGTACGGTGACCTTGTTTCAAACACGAACACCGTCACAGATCTCGGTGTAACACACTCAGATCTTACCTTTACTGAACATGCAAATAAGGTGGCATCTGATTGTAAACGTCTCACCGGATTTTGCTACGCAACTTTTACACTCCAGAAGCCAGATTGGCTATAAATAAGATATGTATTCGCCCCAAACTTAAATACTGTGCCCACTTATACAGTAGCTTTAAATCAGCAGACAGAAAAAAGTTGAACGTGTCCAAAGATTCCTGACGAAACGCATATTAGGCTATGATCAGCAAATAGAATACCTTGACAGATGTATTCGACTGGACTTAGAACCCTTATGGTTAAGGAGAGTGAAGTGCAACTTATTTCTCTTATTCAAAGTTATAAGAAAGCACTGTAACAGTAACTCATCCATAACGTGGGCTAATCTTAAATCGTATAAACTACGCAACCATGACTACCTTCTCAAGATTAACACCCATAAACTCACCACTAGAGGTAACTTTTTCACCATTAAATATTGCAAACTTTGGAACCAGCTACCCTCCGAGATTAGATCCTGTGAAAAGCCTGACAGTTTTAAAAGGAGCCTAGATAAACATATTAACATGTCCACCCTAACCCGTATAAAAGATCAGAACTGCTGGTAGAGTGG